GTATTCTATCTGCAGAGTGGAGTTAAGATTTATGCTAATAATGCATTATTATATGTACTAAGTAATATAATTAACTTTAACCACCCGCTATTCTCAATAAATTTTGGTTATTATTTTTCTAAGTAGTTTGATCTGAACCAGATTTGACACCATTAAATTTGATTTTCCGTTGTCTTATTAAACACATAAACAAATTAGGAATGGCTTGTAATATAGGGAGACACATTGAACTCCAGTGCCTGAAGATGAGGGCAATTTTAAATAACCTGTGTATGTGAAGTGATAGGAAAAAGAACAGAATGGGAATCAGAAAAAATGCTATGCTCTACTCGGAGGGCTTCCTTCCCCTATTTTTCACAGATCTTTATTCTTTTTTCTTCCAAGCCAATTTTTTTCCGATTTTATTTTTTATTTTTAATATTTTTTAAATTTTTTGCATTGTTGTTCATTTTTAAACAATATTTGCTTAAATTATGCTCAGTGAAATAAGCCAGAAGGACAAAGAAAAAATATTGAATGGTTTCACTTATAGCAAGAATGTAGGGGAACCAAATAAGACATCAGTGTGAAAAATAAAATAACAGTAAAAAGCACAACAAAGCGAAAATGGACAATTATAAACCAGAGACATCCTGCAGGGAAGGAGGAGGGAGAGGGATCAGAGGGAGGGAGTGAGGAGCACAGGGGACTGAGGTGATGGTGCACAGGTGCATTGGTGAAGGAAACTCCAAGCCAATTTTATGGAGAAAATAACAACTATTATTTTATTTTTCTTTGCTTTCTATTCTATGAATGCATTTTTCAATAATGTTAGTCTCTGGCTATGCTCTATCAGTAATATACTGTGGGTCATTGATTGTATGATTTGTGTATTCTACACACCTAGGATCTTATATGTCTCCATACTTTGACTCTCAACATTGATTAGTTCTTTTTACTCTACCACGTATTGTATTTTCTTGATATTAGCAAATACCCTCCTGTGTTCAGAAAGCTGGAAAGTACAGAACGAAGTTTCATGAGCTGCTCTTTCTAACTGACATTTGGACTCTAGGAAATAACACATGATGCAAGATGAAGTTAATATGGAAAATAAACCGCCAGAGAGACTAGGGGTATCGCCAAGGGTAGTGGTTTACCAAAATTTGGCCTGAATCTGTGTATAAACAATGACCTTTGGGATTATAGTTATTTACAGCTTTCAAAGACCTATTATTTCTTGCAATGTCACTGTTTATATTTTGTCCTTTTGAAACACATTTTATGGAGACATAGATTAGAATAGATGTTTGCTAGGACAGAATTCTTGGGTGGGCTTTCTCAAGAATTTTAAAAAATGCATATTTTAAAACAATGTTTTGAGCTAATGTAGAGTTGTTAAAATCAAATTTAAATTCCTACCCTGTGTTCTTGGGGCATAAAGATGCTTCTCTTGCATCTTTGGTGCTTTCATAGGTATTTGAAGTCCACTTACCTTGTACACCTGTATTAAGATACCAGAGGTGGAGATTCCTAAAACCTTTCCTGTGCTTTTGGACATGTTTGACTTGCTGCTTTGTAACTCTCTGCATTTTATTCATATTTTGATGCTGAAAACAATGGTTAAGTGAGTATTGGGGCCAATTCCTCCATGTGCTGCCTGAAATTATCTGATCAATACTCAGATCTGATGGTTGGTCAATTAGCCATGACACCTTGGTGTGAGGAGGGTCTCTTCAACCATGTGCTTGGCTAACTATATGCTTTAAACTCTATTTAGTCTCAGCCTGGGTTTTTTTTTTTAAACCTCTTTTGAAGCATGTGCTTCATGAAATGATTTGTGCTTCTGTGAAATGATTTTAGCATCCTTCAGGTTTAATTATGAATTAGCTCAATATAATTTCACTTGAGAACAGGAAAAAAATTATCAGTTTCCAATATCAGTGAATTTTATTATGATCCTTTCTCATGTTTATGTTCATCCCTCCCTGTTTACTACTAAGGAATAACACTGTTTATGCTTGAACATCTCCAAAATGAAGACAATCCAATATTTCAAAACACCTGCCATCCTAAAATAGTCTACAAATCTGAATCAAGGAAGGTAAGTTTGTACTATACTACTTCCATTTATTGAAAGATTTTGTGATGGAAACTTTATTCTTATTCAAGTAACAAGAAAAAGTGCACTTGAGTTTTTATTCAATACTACCAAATATGTAAAGAATTTTTTTTTTACTTTATTTTAATGGCACAAACATACCAGGCAACTGAGTAGAGCTACACACTCCCCAGGAGGTTCAATCTATCATCCAACTAGCTTAATGTTTCAAGTAATCAATATTTGAAATTCAAATTTGCTTACTCACAGTTGTTAAATTCATGCTGTAAAACTCTTTCCTCTTTTTCTTAATTTTTCCATTTCATGTGATTGAAAAACAATTGTGCATTAGTCTCTGTGGTTATAAACTGTCAAGGAGAAAATACATAAAAAGAAAATGATACTTTGACATCACTTGTCACTGGGATATTTCCAATTACCTATTAAGTAATTCCTAACACATTTCTGAATTTTATAATTATATAGATGAGAAAAATGAGGCTGGAGAGATGAAACCATTAGCTCATGTATCACACTGGTGAGTGTGAACACTCCCCAATATTTCTGTGCTGCTCCTTTCTACTGTGCAGTGATTACCTGCTATTCATTAATCATCACTTATGACTCAGTTTTCACACAGAATCTGTCATGAATGTATCTGTGCTCAAATGTTATTTTTATGATAGTAATCCTATCTTTTATAATCTCAGTGTGTTACTTTGTAATCCTGAGATGTCACTTACACTCTCCTTGATCTGTGTCTCTTCTGTTATAAATCAGAGATTTGCTTAGTCACGTGATTTCTACCCTTACATTGTTCACTTTCACATGTAATAATTGTCATTAAGTCAAACTATTTTAGATAAATAGATACATCTAAATATCTAGCATTGAATCACCACATTAGCAAAGAATCAGTATCAGTTGCAAATAAGTAGAAGACAGGACAGTTATGCCCATTCCCTTAAATTATTCAAAACTCTTCAGTCAAAGTTTATGTTGAGCACTGTATGACTGCAGTTGTTCTCAAATAAAGGAGGACAAACTAAATGTTACCCCACTGTGAAATTAGCTTTTGAATAATCATTTAAAATAGGATTTACTTCCTTCTTAATTAACCATTTTTACATGCCTACCTATTAGTTATTTGAAAACTATAATAACCTCTTAGGCTGTAAAATCTAGGATTCATTTTGAGAATTATTAGGGTTGATGGTTTCTATATAACTTGACTACAAAAGTTTTTTTTTTTTTTTCTTTCTCATAGACACCTGGTTGTCCAGGTATGACTATCACACCCAATCCAGCCTAAAGTAGAGGTGGACTAGCTTTTGTAAACTGGTAAGGACAGGAAATTCCTTATCGCTGACTGAGGTGAAGGTGCACAGGTATGTTGGTGAAGGAAACTCTATGGAGAATACACCTGAGGGGGTGGGGGGAAGCAAATATTGTTTAAAAATGAACAATGATGTAAAAAAATAACAAAAAAATATTGATTAAAAAATAAATAAACTATGTCCTGGAAGTGGATTCTTTCTACCCTTAGCTCACTTTGCATTTCTTAAACAATGCTTTAAGATTAGACATCACAGGGCCCCCCTAGTGGCACAGGCAGTTGAATGCAGCACTGTGAATCTGTCTATAGCCTCTGTAGTGTGGGTTAGATTCCTGCTAGCCACAGAGATACCCACATGGCGCGGCAAACCTCTCCTGTCTTGTCTGCTGCTGCCCTCAGCAATGTATTTCATCATTCTGCCTGTTCTTTCCACCCCCCTCTGTCTCTAGTGAATCCGCTCACCCTCCTGTGCATCTGGTCTGTACCCCGGTTCTTGTATAAATAAATAAATCTTAAAAAAAAAAAGGAAAAAAATGAGACATTACATACAAAAGGTGAAAATCTGTGATTGTTTCATTTATTTATCTTTGCAATAAATATCATTGTTACCTACAATAAAGTTTGCTTAAATTTACCCTTTGTATATCTTTCTTATTGATATTAGTTCCATGAATTATATATAAAGAATGAAATCTCTAGTAGTAGCCACAATATCGATAATTTAAAGATACGTGGTCAATGAAATGATTTTATTCTTTAATAAAATTCTTTATTCTTTATAATTTCCATAATAATCATCACTGGCAATACATACACATAGATAGTCTTAAAGCATGAAGTATAAATAGGATAAATGCATAATTTGTTCTTCTTTCACAATTTTGATGATTAGCTCACATTCTTTGGCTATTTAGATTTTAACCATTCTATGGCTTTAAATACAATAGCAATTATATAGCTTTAGCATAATCCATTGGGAATGCTTGACTACATATTACAATAGAGTGTGATGTACATAAATTAAATTCAGCATTCAGATTAGAATGGTTACTCAGATTTGTGTTTCCCAAGGATTCACCTCCAGGAAATTCAGTATGTTTAGCTGCTGGCAGTGGGAAATGGAAATTTGAGCTTAAATATTAGGTACACATATTTACAATACATGAAAAAAAATTCTTTACTTATATTTAAAAATAATATTTGTTATCCAGCTAACACAGTCAGAAGAAATAAATAAGTTTTCAAATAGCACTTAAAGACATTATCACTGCTGATTTAATTGAAAAAAGTAGCCTCTTTCATTAGAAAATTTCCCCAAATACTTAAGACAATTAAAATGATAAATTATGATTCATTATATTTATTTATTAAATATTATATATGAATTATGTATATATTTTATTTATTATATTATAAATTACGTTGTTTTAATAAAACATTAATATAAAAGTGTAAATGTTAATCTACGTTTTGTTTAATTTACAACATTTTGTTCATTCTTTAAATTGTTATAAATTCTACAAATTTGCTTTTTTATTTATTTCAGATAACTTTATGATTATAATGTACACCAAATTTGAATTCATGGAAAACCAGAGGAACATCACAGAATTCATTTTTCTGGGACTGTCTTCTGATAAGAACATAGAAATATTTTGCTTTGTTCTCTTTTTATTCTGTTATATTGCTCTGTTGGTAGGAAATCTTGTGATCATCATCTCCATTCTATGCAGTCCTCTTTTTGACCAACCAATGTACTATTTTCTCAACCATTTGGCCACTATGGACATCTGCTATACCTCTACCGTTACACCCAATTTAATTGGTGACCTGCTGGTGGAGAGAAAGACCATTTCCTTTGATAACTGCATGCTGCAGGTACTTCTCATGCACTTTTTTGGAGGCATTGAAATCTTCATTCTTACAGCCATGGCTTATGATCGCTATGTTGCCATCTGCAAACCTCTCCACTACATGCTTATTATGAACAGGACAAGATGCAATCTCATGGTCTTGGCTACTTGGGTGGGTGCAGCTATCCATTCTTTTCCTCAATATTTTATGGCTATTCAGCTGCCCTACTGTGGTCCTAATGAAATTGATCACTATTTTTGTGATATTCTCCCAGTCCTTGAACTTGCCTGTACTGATACTTATATCAGTGGTATTCTTGTGATTGCTGATTCAGGGATTATTGCTCTAGTTACCTGTGTTGTTTTATTCTTTTCTTATGTGGTTATATTATTCACCTTAAGAAATCAGTCAGCTGAGGGAAGACGAAAAGCCCTCTCTACCTGTGGGTCTCATGTCACTGTGGTTCTTTTATGTTTTGTCCCTTCCATTTTTATCTACCTTAGACCCCCGGCTACTTACTCTGTTGATAAAATACTTGCACTATTTTACACAATCATTGCTCCCATGTTCAATCACTTAATCTATACACTGAGAAATACAGAGATGAAGAATGCCATGAGAAAAGTCTGGTGTCAAACACTATTTTCCAAGGAAGCACAAAATTAATTTGCAGATATGTATAGTTAAGGAACCATATAAAATTAAAGGTATTTATGTGAATGAATAGACTAAGAAATATCTCATAGAGTTTACATTCAATCACCATCATGAGTAGAATGAATCAAAGAATTGGAGTAATCAATGTAAAGTGACAAGTAAACAAACACTTATCTTTAAATGTCTAAATTAAATGTGATGCTTAATTGTTTTTGGACTAGTAAAACTGTATATTAACCCTACTTACAGGGTTACCCAAAGAAACACACACATGACACATACAAACACACCTGGACCAAAACTCATATTGAACCAGTATAATGTGAATGTGTTTTGAAATAAAATATTTTAAAATAATAATTCTGCTAAAAACCAGGGCTTATTGGCCAGAACACATTGAGACATACATTCGCTGGTATTAGAGATGTTGAAATCTAAAATTAATATAATATCTTTGAATTTCTCATTGAGCATTCATTTAAACATCCTGTAGTGGCATTTAGAAACATTTTGTGCTACAAGGAAATTGCTTTAGTAGAATCTGTTTTAAAGTGGTTCCCTTGGGTTGGCAGTCCTGAGCTGATTGAAATAAACAACAGTACGTAGTGAAGAAAGAACAAAACCACAATTCATGATGCTGAAAACTTATGGCTGCTATTCCACCCATTGACTGGAATTAAAAAAAAAAAAATCCTGTAAAACTTAAGAAAATGAATAACTAAATGTATGTTCACCTACCACTACCTGCTTAAGTTAAGTTAATGACTAGTCATTGGATCCAGTCCCAAATCAAGAGTATTAGTTCTGAATAAAAATCTTCACACCAACTTTATTCATAATAGACAAACTTTCACAGCAATGAAGACATCCTTTGGTTGTTGAAAGGATAAACTGTGTTACATCAAGAAATAGAGACTTGCATTTGGTGACAATATGATTGTGAAAACAATTTTACTATTTCTATTCATGTGGAATGACATTTTTAAATGTGATTTTAGCATGATTGTGGAAAATATGATCAGTAGATAATAATCAAAATTTGAAGATGTTAGTGTGATATCTGAGTGAGTGCCTAAGGGTGTCCCAAAGTGTATTTGTGCAGGAAGCACATAAAGAAATGACCATCTGCTCCTTTTGAATGAATTGATACACACAGTGAATTGATACACACCAGATTGAGTAAAGTTTGGTCAAGGCAGCCATGATGTGGAAATGAGAGCCAGTAAACGTTGGGTCTTGATGTGTTTTGTGCTGAAATGAAGAGAAACCTTCAGCATTACTGACCTTTAAAACCCAGACACAAGCGCTCAGCTTAGAAATACTCATTTTCCTCTGTCAGCTGGCTTTGAGATAATTGTTTAACCTCAAGAACCTTCTGTATTCTTATCCACAGAGTGGAGCTAAGATTTATGCTAATAATGCACTATTATATGTACTAAGCAATACAATTAACTTTAACTACCCAATATTTTCTATAAATTTTGGTTATTATTTTTCTAAATAGTTTGATACAAACCAGATTTGACATCACAAAATATGATGTTCTGTTGTCTTGTTAAACACATAAGCAAATTAGGTATGGCTCGTTATATAGGGAGACTAAGTGAACTCCAGTGCCTGCAAATAATGGTGATTCTAAATAACCTATGAATGCACAGTGATAGGGGAAAGAACTGAATGGGAATAAGAATAAATGCTGTACCATACTATGAGGGCTTCCTTCCCCTTATTTTTTCACAGTATTTTATTCATTTTACTTCCATGACAAGTTTATCGAGAAAAGACTATTTATTCTTTTATTTTCATTTCCGTTGTTTTCTATTCCACGACTACACTTTTCAATAATGTTCATCACAAGCTATTTTATTTCAACAACATACTGCAGGTCAATCTTTATGATTTATGTATTCTATCCACCTAGGATCTTAATTGGGCTCCACACTTGGACTCTCAACAGTAGTGATTAGTTTTCTTTGTCCTACCACATAATATATTTTCCTGACATTAGCTAATTCCCTCCTGTGTTCAGAAAGCTGGAAAGTACAGAACAAAGTTTCATGAGCTGCTCCTTCTAACTGACATTTGCACTCTAGGGAAATAACACAGGAGGCAAACAAAGTTAATATGGAAAACAAGCTGTCAGGGAGAATAGGGGTATCACCAAGGGTAGTGGTTTACCAGCATATGGTCTGAACCTGTGCATAAACAAAGACCTTTGGGATTATGTTATTTACAGCTTTCAAAAATCTATTAATTCTGGCAATGTCACTAAGTTTATATTCTGTCCTTTTGAAACACATTTTATTGAGGCATAGTTTAAAATAGAAGTTTACTAGGACATAAATACTTGGATTATATTTGTCATCAATTAAAAAAATGCATTTTTAAAGCATTCTTTGTGAGCTAGTGTAGAGTTGTTAAGACCAGCATTTAAATTCTTAGCCTGTGTTCTTGGGGAATAAAGATGCACCTCTTGCATCTCTAATGCTTTCATGAGTATTTGAAGTCCACTTAACTTAATGTGCCTGTAGAAGAATATGAGAGGCGGAGATTCCTAAAACATTTACAGAGTATTTGGACATGTTTGACTTGCTGCTTCGTAACTCTCTGAATTTTATTCAGATTTTGATGCTGAAGACAATATGGTTAAGTGAGTATTGGGGTGGAATTTTTACATAGGCAGCCTGAAATTATCTAACAGACACTCATATCAGATGGTAAGTCAATTAGCCATGACAGCTTGGTATGAGGAGGGTCTCTCCAACCATGTGCTTTGCTAGCTATATGCTTTAAACTCTCTATAGTTTCAGCCTGAATGTTTTACCCCTTTTGCAGCATGTGCTATTTTTATTACTATGACATGATTTTAGTATCCTTCAAGTTTAATAATGAATTTGTACAATATAATTTCACTTGAGAACAGGGAAAATAATTTATCGCAGTTTCCAGTTGTCAATGAATTTTATTATGATCCTTTCTCATGTTTATGTTCATCCTTTCCTGTTTACTGTTAAGGAATAAAACTGTTTGTGCTTGAACATCCCCAAAATGTTATCTGATATTTCAAAACACCTGCCTTTCTAAAATAGGTTACTATTCTGAGTCAAGGAAGGTAAGTTTGTATCATGTTTCTTCTGACTTATTAAAAGAGTATGTGATGGAAACTTTATGCGTATTCAAGTAACTTATGTAAAAGTGCATTCATATTTTTTATTCAGTACTACCAAATATGCAAAATAATTAGTTGACTTTATAAAGAGCGCAAAACATACAATATTTTGGAATAGGGCTATATACTCCCCAGCTGGTTCAATCTATCATCCAAGTAGCTTAATGTTTTTAGTAATTGATATTTGAAATTAAAATTTGCTTTGTCACAGTTATTAAATCCATTCTGTGAATCTCTTTCCTCTTTTTCTTATTTTTTCCATTTCATATGATTAAAAAATAAGTGTGCATGAGTTTCTGTTTCTAAACTAATTAGTTGAGGAGAAAACTCATAAAAAGAAATTGAATGTCTTGACTTCACTTGTCACTGGTGTATTTCCAATTACCTATTACATAATTCCTAATTACCTCTGAATTATGTAATGATATCTTAATTGAATAAATGAGAAAAACAAGGCTAGAAGAGACGAAACCAGGAATCTAGAAAACTTAAATAAGGGACCAGGAAAATGAATAACTATAAGAAAGTGAAAATCAAAATCAACAAAAAACTATGAACCAGAGACACTTTTAGGGGGGCGGGGGTGGGAGGGGAGGGATTGGGATCAGAATGGGGGGCTGCAATTGTATGGGGAATATAAAAATAAAATTTATTATTAAAAAAAAAAATCACACTGGTGAGTGTGAATACTCCCCAATATATCTCTGCTGTTCCAATTCTGCTGTGCAGTGATTGCCTGATATTCATTAATCATCAGTTATGACCAGTTTTCACACAGAAGCTTTCATGAATAACTTTGGGGTCAAATGCTATTTTTATAATAGTAAATCAATCTTCCAATCTCAATGTGTTACTTTCTAATCCTGAAATGTTACTTAGATTCTCTTCATCCGTGTTTCTTCTGTTTTAAATCAGAGATTCAACTTTGTCATGTGATTTCTTTTTTTTTAATGCAAATCAGAATTTATTGTCAAGTGGGCTAGTTAGACAATTAAGCATTAAACAATCAAGAAAGATAAGTAAGATGATTTAAATGTTTGGAATACATATAGTAAGACTTAACATATTTTAGGATTGACATGTGATTTCTACCCTTATGTTGTTAATATCCATTTATGTAATAAGTGTCATTAAATCAAGCTACTTTAGTTAAATAGATATATCTAAATATCTAACATTGAATCGCCACATTAGCAAAGAATCAGTATCAGTTTCAATTACAAAGAAGGCGGGTCAGTTATGCCTACTCCCTTAAATTATTCAATATTCTTTTCTCAAAGTTAATGTTGAACATTGTATGACTGTAATTGTTCTCAAATAAAGTAGGACAAACTAAAATTTACTCCATTGTGGAATTAAGCTTTAAATAATCATTTAAAATAAGATTTACTTCCTAATTCACCATTTTTTACATGCCTACCTATTAGTTATTTGAAAACTATAATACCCTCTTAGGCTGTAAAATATATGATTTATTTTGAGAATTATTAGGGTTGATGCTTTTTATATAAATTGACTACAATTTTTTTTTTCTTTCTAATAGACACCTGGTTGCCCAGTTATGGCGATCACACCCAATCCAGTCTAAGGAAGACGTGGAATAGCTTTTGTAAACTGGTATTGACAGGAAATTCCTCATCACTGACTAAAGTATGTCCTGGAAGTGGATTTTTTCTACCCTTAAGGCATTTCTTAAGCAATGCCTTAAGATCAGACATCATGTACAAAAGGTGAAAATCTGTGATTGTTTCATTTATCTTTGCAACAAATATCATTGTTACCTACAATAAAATTTGGTTAAAGTTACCCTCTGTATTATCTTCTCACATTGACATTAGTT